AGTACAGCTCCATTCTGCCCCCTGCACAGTGCTGCTTTCCCCTTGCAGCCAGCCAGCCCTGGGATTTCAGTGATCAGAATGGGAAAGAAAGGAGAGGTGTAGAGGGGTCACTGCAGAAGAAGTGGGAGGATCTGGCAAGACTCTGGTTGCAGGGGGAAGGGAAGCAGAGCCAACTGGGACCCAGAAGCAGTGAGCTGAGGAAGTGGGGAGGAGAGCGGCACGGCCCAACAGGAGGGTCTGGCACAGAACAGGAGTTTTCTCCTTGACAAAACTAGCAAGCCCCTCAGCAGGGAGTAGGGGAGATGGGCTGTCTGAGAAGAGAGACAAAGGCAAAGAAGAGCCTTCAGGGGTTGGGGCATGGGAGAATACCACGGAGGAGAGGTGAAGACAGAAGGAACTCATTGGCAATGGAAATCCACTCTGTCCCCAGGCACATGGCAAAGCAGGTGCAGAGGAAGCAGAGGTCAGAGGAGAAGGCAGAGTGGGCATGATCAGGACAGGCAGAGGGCTGAGGGGGGGGGCAACACAATGGAAGAAAAGGCAGAGTTGGAGGGCGACACCTTGTTTTTCCCATGCTGAGTCCATGGCCAGTAAGCAGAGAAGGCAGTAAAATCGATGGGCCTTGAGTGAGATCAGGAAAGGTTTGGGGTGAAAGTCACCCCATGCAGAGGGCTGGCACAGGCCCTCTGCATGAAGGGTGCAGGGCTGGAGGAGACAAAGGGTGAGATTACAGAGCACAGGAAGAGAGGCAGGAAGCGGTTCTGGGAAGAGAGGCAAGCAGCAGTGGCTGGGGACGCCTACGTCATGAGTGGCAGAAACAGAACGAAGGAAACGGGCTCAGACTGGGGGGGGGGCGGCTAAGGAGAAGTTGGACCGGAGGCACCAGCCTTGGCACATCATCCATGTGAAAGTGGGAATCACCTAGAGTTGGAGTAGGGGAGTCAGAGGTCAGTCAACGCAGGAGGAGCTGGGGCAACGACAGACAATGCCCACGTGGCTGGAGAAGGGACAGATGTCTCCAATGGGATGAACTTCAGAGATGGGAAGGAGACAGGTGGCAGAGGTTGGGCAGGAAAAGCAAAACCTGATGGGCCACTAGGGTTTCCCCAGCAGGGTGCAGGAAGGCCCAGTGACGGTAGCAAGGCTTCAGGGAGACCTCGGGGAAGAGGGAGCAGGTGACAAAGGCAGATAGGGTGCAGATTGGAGACTGAGTAGGTGTTTCTCATCTCAGGGAGTGGGCTCGAGAACATTCTGACTCTAAGGTGAGCAGGAACCTCAGACACTACTGCTAGTGAACTGCCTAGGAGAGCAATTGAAGCGGGGACTTGATCAGCAGCTGGAATAACAGGCAGTTTCCTGAGCACTCCATTGAGTTTTGCTTGCTGATTTCTTGCCCACACAAACCCTTCTGAGTTACCGAGGGACCCACGCAGGAGTATTTACAAGTCTTCAAAACCTGGCTCCCCAGCGGCCAGACCAGATATTCCAGCAAGTAACACCTCATGTGCAGAGCAGTTCAGAAGAGGGTTGAGTAAACCTCCAACACTGAACTCAGATAGCAGAGACACTGAAGGCTTCTGAACAACTGAGGCCTGCCCAGGCATGGGAGTAACCGTGACGCTAACATCTTTCCCTGGCAGTGCCAGTCACTTCCAGGTAGACAGAAGCTTTAGGCCAAGACTTTCAAAAGGAAGCAGCCATTCTGGGTGCCTCCACTTGCGATGCCCAATCCGAGTGCCCTAAAAGGGGCATGACTGTGAGGAGTTCAGGGCTGAGCTGCCCGAAAGCGGTTTCTATTTGGGTGCCCACGAAGTACGCCACCCCAAGGCACTTTTTGAAAATCCTGATCATCATTCCCCTGAGAGTGTCTCAGGGCTGGCCAGGGGCTACATTTGCTGCTACCCAGCTTGATGCCGGAACCCTTTCCAAACATGAGACCAGCCAAGGACAAATAGCGAACACTGCACGTCTAGTGCAATCACCAGAGGTTTGCATTGGTGGGGAAGGGCACTGAGCAAGGAGAGCTGGGTTCTGTTCCTGCCTGTGTCTCAGACTCCCGGTGGGATCTTGAGCAAGCCACTGCCCTTTCCCATGCCTCAGTTTCCCACCTGCCAAATGGGGCTAATAACCCTGCCTCTCTACCACTCCGTCGATTTAACTTGGAAGTTCTTTGGGGCTCTTCTACTTATTTGTACAGTGTCTGCCACAATGGCATTGGAGTATCAGTTGTGACCTCTAGGCACATACAAGCAGCATTGCTTATAAGAAACCCTAATAAAGTTGCAAGCTTTCCAAACATTAGCTGAATAGCAGCCTTTTTACAGTTATTGATCGGTCATGGCTATACAGCCCCCCACTCAGCAGCAAATCAAATTCCAGTGGTGGAATACATTTGATTAGCGAATACATTTATGCACTTGGTTTTCCACCACTCAGTAAAGCAGGCATACATCACTGGAGTACCACAAGCACTGTACAAAACCCTGTTCTTTTCCCATGAGGAATATTATCAATGGTCTCTTTTGCAGGCTCAAGCAGAGCAGATTACTCCTCCCTCCAGGGTAGGGAGTGTCAGAGAGATGAAGTCTCAGGGCCCAGTTCCCTACCTTGTGCACTAGTGTAAAGCGAGGATAAAATTCTCCCACTCTGATCAGGCAGCACTTTAGATTCACTCTGTGCCGCTGTAAATGACACTGCAAGGCCCAGGGTCATGACCCTTAAACAGAACAGGCCTGAAATGGTACCTGCAGCAATCAGATTGCAAATGCCAAACTCCTGGGGGAGAATTAGAGCAAGAGATTGCTCAAAGCTGAGTGAATCCAAGGAAGGGGTGGCTACCTGTTTTTGACAGACAAGCTTTTATTGACTTTAAATTGGGCCAGGTGAAGCTTTAAGGAGGACTAGAAATTTAGGCTATACCTGCTCTTTATAGGTTTTAAACTCAACCTTGAGGATGAGGCAGCAAAGGTTAATGCAAGAATGACCAGTAACCAGCACAGCTGCCAATTCTTTGTTAATAATTGTACTGGGCCACAAACCAGGGGAGTCTGTAGGGCATAAGAGGAGATGGGCAGCTGAAGGGTATTTACCTGGAGGCACTGAGCCCAGAAAGGGGTGTGAGAGGGTTAGTGAATTTAGGGGTTAGTTCTGACTGTAGAATGTGCAAGAGGATGATGCCCCCTGGGTGGAGTGGAGGGTACCTGTTACAGGTGAGCGTGTACAAGGATTGAGCAGCTGGAAGGCAGGTAGAAAACACTGCTGGATAATTAGACTGATACAAACAGAGTGAGAGAGAGCTGTCAAACACATGAACGAATGAATGAATGAACACTTGCTCTCGCAGTATGCCCAGCTCTGGTCAGGTAATTGCAATTGTGGGGGTAACAGTGTTTTTCTGAAAGCCCCAGGGGCTGGAGTACTGTGAAAATAGGAGGATCCCAGCTTTCACTTTTTAAAAACAGAGCGATTTTCTATCACTCCTGGTTGTGGGAAAAAGCAGGACAGTGTGACCCCAGAAAGCAAATGGAGAACTCAATTTTTTTTTTAAATCTCATGATTTTAAGCTAATCACATGATTTGGGGAAGTCTGGCTCATGATTTTTCAACATCTGGGGCCGCCAATGCTGCTCTCTGTGAAATGTGAGTGAAAGCAGTAAAAAGCAAATGCACACACAACTGTGCCCTTGTGGTTTTATTACAGCTTTCATGTTGAGACTTCAGTTTTCCCTGGCATTTGCTGCATTTCTACAATATTCTGGCAGTTGGGTTTCACCCTCTTGTCCCGAGGTTGTTTAGTATACACAGCTGGAGGAGGAGAAGCCCGGAGATTACTATTCTATTAAGGAATTAAACTAAAATGTCAGGTGAGAGCCAGCCATGCTTCCAGCTAGACAAAGCCTATGTGATGACTGCTTTTTAACGGATTGCCTAATAGGACCGATCCCATATTACTCGGAAAGAGAATTAGAGTTTAATCAAGTCGGCAGATTATCTGCTTTGCCCAGGGAACCGGATTAAATACCTAGCGGGAAGGGACGGTGGGTTTGTTTTGAAAGGCAAGGACAAAAATCAATACACGTCTGATAGCAACATGTTAAATCCAGCAGATTCACCAACCCGGAGCCCTCCTTGCATATGTCCTGTTCTGCTCTTCCTTGCAAGAGAGGCACCTTGGCAGGCAATTAACAGCATTGCTGTGAGCCATGATGGAGGGGCTCGTCCTCCCCGGGCTGAGCCCGCTTCTGCTCGGATGTGCCGGGATCCCCTCGCCGGCTGGCCTAGTGCCCTTCCTCTGCCCTCTCCCCATCGCAGCCCCGTCCCCTTACCCAGCGCTCGCTGTCCTGCTCCCGGCACGTTCCCGTCTCCCGGTCGGAGCCAGGCGGCGCGGAGAGAAACCCGCGGAGCCGAGACCAGGCTCCGCCCGGAGCCCCACGGTCCGCCCCAGCGGGCTCGGTCCCGCTCCCTGGCTCTGAGGGTGCCAAGGGGCAGCTCGCCTCTCCCGGTGCCGGCTCAGCCGGGGATCCCCGCGGGCTCGGGGAAGCCGGCCCGGGCGAGCCTGACCACAGCAGCCCCGCAAGCGCGCTCCGTCCTCCCGCTCCCTCCTGCGGCAGCCACAGCCCGGGAGACGCTTGACGCGGTGGGGTCGGTCCCCCGGGTGGACCCCAGCCCGCCCCCAGCACGGCCCCGAGCCCCTGCCCGGCCCTGCACAATTGCAGCTAAAGGGCTCGTAGCGAGCTTGTCCCCCGCCCCGCGGACCGGACCCGGGCTGCCGCCCCTCCGGCTCCCCGCCCCCGCGGCACGGGAGGGAAATACAAATCCCCACCTCCAGACGTCCGGCAGCGCTGCCCGGAGCGCCCTGGCCGGAGCCGCTGGTTCCCCGCGGGACGTCCCGTCCCCCTGCACCCCCGGCGGGCCCCCCAGGTGCGTGCGCCCGGCCCGGGATGGTCCCTGCGCTCCGCGCCCGGACCGGGCCACCTGCGTCCAGAGGAACCGGCTCCTACCTGGGCCCGCAGAGCTGCTCAGCGGCGGGCGGGCAGCGCCCGGGCCATGGCGGGGAAGGAGGCGCGGGGCCGGGGCTGTCAGCAGGAGCGCGTTTGGCCCGGCAGCCGCCCCCTCCTCATGCTCCGGGCGGGGAGAAGCGGCGGGTCCCCCGGCGGGCGGGCGAGCGGCGAGAGCCGGCAGGTTTCCGCAGCGCGCCCGGCCGTGCCGTGCCGTGCCCGCCTCCCCGGCCGCCGCTGCGCTCTGGCTGCGAGTGAGGGGCTGGCTCCGCGCCAGCGCTCTTATCAGCGCGGACCCTCCCACCCGCCTCCCTCCCGGCCCGGGCCCCCGCCCCCGCCCGCGGTCCAGCCCCGGGCCCCGGGCCCCCAGCGCAGCGCCCTCCGCCGGGCCGCCCAGCCAGCAGCCCCGGCCGCCAGCATCTCGGGCCGGAGTCCCCCGCGCCGCGCCCCGCGGGGACGGAGAAGTTCAGGGGAGCCTGGCAGCTAGCGGGAGCAGGGCAGAGGTGCGGGAACTGGGGCGGGGGTGCTGCACCCCCTGGCTTGAAGTGGGGGTTTCCATCTGATCCAGGGTGTACGGCTGGGTTCAATGGCTCTCAGTCTCCCCCCCCCACACACACACACACACATTGTTCCAGCCCCCTGGAGAGAAGTGGGTTCCCCTGGGAGATCACTGGGGAGCGGCCCAGGCTGCTGGGGAGGGCAAGGAGCGAACTGGGGGAGAAAGAAAGGAGTGGGGAATGGGGGAATGTATAAGGACCAAGCCCTGCTCCCTGCCGTTTCTGTCGCACTGGGGGAGTTGCTCCAGAGTTGGCCCCAGTTAAGGGGCTCTCAGAGATGCAGGGAATGGTTCCTGCACTGGAGGCCGCTCGCCCTTCGCCAGCCATGGGTTGGGTTTGTCCCAGACACAGATAGAGCTCAGCCCCATCTGTTGTTGCTATGATGGCAGAGGGTAAAGGCCCCCAGGCAGATCAAGGTCCCATTATTCTAGGTGCTCTACACATAGCAAGAGCTAGTCCCTGCCCCAAAGTGCTTGCAGTCTAAATGGACAAGAAACATTACTAGCCACATGAGACTACGTGACTTGCCCAGTGTCGCATAGGAAGTCAGTGGCAGAGCAGTGAACTGACCCATGTTGGCCAAGTTCCAGGCCTTTAACCACAAAACCATCCTTTCCTGTTCCCCCAGCCTTCCTCATTTCACATCCCTACCCCACTGTAAAATGCATGCCTTCCTTCCCGTGCCTGGGAAGGTCTCAGTGTGAGTGCTTTCAGCAGACTCTGCCAACACTCATCTACCCCATAAGACCATAAGAATGGCCATACTAGGTCAGACCAAAGGTCCATCTAGCCCAGTATCCTGTCTTCTGACAGTGGCCCATGCCAGGTTCTTCAGAGGGAATGAATGGAACAGGGCAATTGTCGAGTTATCCATTCCCTGTCACCCATTCCCAGATTTTGGCAAACAGAGGCTAGGGACACCATCCCTGCCCATTCTGGCTAATAGCCATTGATGGACCTATCCTCCATGAACTTATCTAGTTCTTTTTGAACCTCGTTATAGTTTTGGCCTTCACAACATCCCTGGCTGAGTACCACAGGTTGTGCATTGTATGAAGAAATACTTCCTTTTGCTTGTTTTAAATCTGCTCCTATTAATTTCATTTGGTGATGCCTAGTTCTTGTGTTATGAGGAGTAAATAACACTTCCTTATTTACTTTCTCCACACCAGTCATGATTTTATAGACTTCTATCATATCCCCCTTAGTCGTCTCTTTTCCAAGCTGAAAAGTCCCAGTTTTATTAATCTCTCCTCATATGGAAGCTGTTCCATACCCCTAATCATTTTTGTCGCCCTTTTCTGAACCTTTTCCAATTCCAATATATCTTTTTTGAGATGGGGCAACCACATCTGCAGGCAGTATTCAAGATGTGGGCATACCATGGATTTATATAGCAGCAATATGATATTTTCTGTCTTACTATCTATCCCTTCTCCTGGGAGCTTTTTTGACTGCTGCTGCACATTGAGTGGCTATTTTCAGAGAACTATCCACAGTGACTCCAAGATTTTTCTTGAGTGGTAACAGCTAATTTAGACCCCATCGTTTTATACGTATAGTTGGGATTATGTTTTCCAATGTGCATCACTTTGCATTTATCAACATTTAATTTCATCTGCCATTTTGTTGCCCAGTCACCCAGTTTTGTGAGATCCCTTTGTAGCGCTTTTTGGTTAGCTTTGCACTTAACGATCTTGAGTGATTTCGTATCCTCTGAAGACATTGCCATCTCACTGTTTACCCCTTTTCCAGATCATTTATGAATATGTTGAATAGGACTGGTCCCAGAACAGACCCCTGGGGGACACCACTATTTACCTCTCTCCATTCTGAAAACTGACCATTTATTCCTACCCTTTATTTCCTACTTTTTAACCAGTTACCAATCCATGGGAGAACCTTCCCTCTTATCCCATGACTGCTTATTTTGCTTAAGAGCCTTTGGTGAGGGACTTTGTCAAAGGCTTTCTGAAAATCTAAGTCCACTCTATCCACTGGATCCCCCTTGTCCACGTGCTTGTTGAGCCCCGCAGAGAATTCTAGTAGATTAGCAAGATATGATTTCCCTTTAAAAAAAACATGTTGACTCTTCCCCAACAAATCATATTTATCTATTTGTCTAATAATTCTGTTCTTTACTATAGTTTCAACTAGTTTGCCCAGTACTGAAGTCAGCCTTACTGGTCTGTAATTGCCGAGATCACCTCTGAGCCTTTTTTAAAAATTGGTGTCACATTAGCTATCCTCCAGTCACCTGGTACAGAAGCTGATTTAAATGATAGGTTACAGACTACAGTTAGTAGTTCTGCAATTTCATATTTAAGTTCAGAACTCTTGGGTGAATACCATCTGGTCCTGGTGACTTATTACTGTTTAGTTTATCAATTTGTTCCAAAACCTCCTCTAATGACACCTCAATCTGGGACAGTTCTGTTCTTCGAATACTTTTTTGGCCTTCCTAATTTTATTTTTACACTTCACTTGCAGAGTTTATGCTTCTTTCTATTTTCCTCAATAGTATTTAACTTCCACTTTTGAAGGGATGCCTTTTTTGCCTCTCACTGCTTTTTTTACTTTGTTGTTTAGCCATGGTGGCACTTTTTTGTCCTCTTGTGATGTTTTTTAATTTGGCATATACAGTTAAGTTGAGCCTTTAATATTGAACTATGAGAGCTGTGTCTGGCCATATCTGTTCTACCCCAGTGGTTTGGAGGCTAGCTCAACCAGTGGCCATTAGTCAAGATGGGCAGGGATGCAACCCCATGCTCTGGGTGTCCCTAAACCTCCAACTTCCAGAAGCTGGGATGGATCACTCGATAACGGCCCTGTTCTGTTCATTCCCTCTGAAGCACCTGGCATTGGCCACTGTCGGAAGACAGGATACTGGGCTAGATGGACTGTTGGTCTGAGCCAGTGTGGCCGTTCTTATGTTCTGCTCTCTGTTCTAACACAGTGGTTTGTTTGTTGTGAGGCGGGGACAGCATGGCTCTCCAGCTGTGTGAGCTGCCACCCAACTGTACAGCCCTGTGCTCCTGCAAACCAGCATGTGAACATGGACCCCCCAGCACTGCCAGAGAGCCGTGAGCTGGCACAAGGAAGTTTGTTGCTGTTTTCTTTGGCTGATGGTTTCTGTCCCGTTCCACAGCATCTCAAAAGGGACAGGCTTCCGGTGAATGCTTCCTCCTGCGGCTGTCAGCGCCAGCAAGGACCAGTTGCATCTATTGTGTCAGTAAGTCCCACCCTTCTGGCAGGACCCAATTCCATGGGAGCTCAAAAGGATCACGTTTAATAACACACACGCCCTGGCACAGCTGCATTTGAAAAGGCCATGGAATGGCCTCTATACCTAACCCTTAGGAGTGATGAGAAAAATGACCAAATACAACCATTATACCAGCTTCCCCGGACTATTAAACTGCACAATCACAGCCCCGTGGCGGCGCCAGTACTTCTTGGCAACACTCTGTACAAACGATCGGTACATTTGCTGCACAGCTCTTGACTGAGGACATCGAGGCGGGGGGTGGGGGGTGTTCAGTAGGTTTTATTTACTCTTTTTGTATTGCTGGGCAACATCAAACCCCTCCAGCTAGGGTCAGGTGCCCTGAAAGAGAGCACGGGAGTTGTCAGAGGTTTAGCACAGGGGAGCGTCCCCACCCATATCGCCAAAATATATCACTATAATTACCAAGGCCCCGTGCTGTAAGTTGTTCCCTGCAGGTGGATCCCTGCACCTGTGCGGAGTCCCATTGACTTCAGGGGGATCTGCGAGGCATAGAAGCCTGCCTGAATGGAACCACTGACAGATTAGGGGCCATTATTAGGAATTAAATCCCTGGTAGCTTTTCTCACAAGAGCATTCCGGTGAATAATCACATGCTTAAAGTTAACCACATGTGTAAGTCTGTGCAGGATAGGGACCTGCTGGGGAGCTTGGGCAAGTCACATAAATGCTCCATGTCTCAGTTTCCCCATCCGTAAAACAGTAATAATGATAGTGACCCTCTTGCCCTCTTTTGTAAAGTGCTCTCAGATCTACAGATGAAACCTGCTATAGAAGATCCAGGTATTATTATGATAGTAGCACTGATTTCACCGAATACCGTATAAGTTATCCTTTAGTTGCAAAACTAAGTAATAGACCCTAAATAATTCAACAGCTTAGTGGCAGCATCCTTATATGTGTCATCTGCCCGTCCCTGTTTCACTCCATTTCAAATTCTCTGTGTGTGAAGTGCCCAGTGCAAGTGGCACTGCAATCCCTCCTGGAGGCCTCTTGGTGCCACCATCATAAAAATACAACAATTAATAAGTTAACAAAATAACATGTAACAGGAATTACTAAACTTGCACAAAGGACACGTTATTTTACTAGTCTTAAGAAATTAAATGAGTGATTAATTGGTATAATTATTTGGTTTTGGTAGCATCCACTGTGCGCAATATGCTATATAAATACAAAAGAAGGTGTTGGGCCTGTCCTGACATCATCATCATCATCATCTATCTATCCCCATACAACCCCTCCATCTATCTAACTAGCTCAGCAAAATAACACCTTTTATTTACTTGACGTAATAATACAGCAAATGAATGAGTGAAGCCAATAAGTCACGGCTCAACATACAAAC